TGTGAGTTCTCTTTACCTTAAAGTTTGTCCCAGGCTCTGTGCAAACTCCTTAGCAGTCATTTCTGCTGGCTTGCAGCGAATGATGGCGGTAGCTGCTGCTAACTTCAGCCTGTTGATGGAGGCTACACTAAGATCGTCGTTAGATGGTAGACGGGTGGACATTTTGGTCAAAATACAGATCAAAATGTAATGTTTGCGCTCGGTGCTGAACTTGAATTAAGTGTGCAAATAAAGAGTCTGAACAAATCGTCCCACTCATTTGTTATCAAAGAGGTAAATCGACATAAAGGTAAATTTACCCTAGCAATATGTAAATCACATAGGTTAGAAAAACCTTAGTTTGACAGATCTATATTATATATATAAACTGATACAACTAAAATAAAAAATACCGCATACGGGCCAAAAAAGAACGCCCTCTAGCGATCCGTAGTGCTAGTGGACGTGTTTGTTGTTTTCTGTGGGCGTCTACATTTTATCTTGATGGTAATTTTACTGTGACAGTTAATTTCAAAGAAAAGCAAAACTTTTGTGAAAAAAATTGATGCAACACTATACGTTATGATTTCAATTTTTTAAAAATCGATTGCTTGAATTCCAGCCCCGGCGGTTCACAATTTTGAGAAGTTCATCACTTATTTTAGCGCGGTTGATGGAACGCCCCCTGTAGACAAATGTTATGATCTAAGCCCGGTACCTATTTTGACAGAATTTCCTTAGCGAGGACGCTAGCGTTTTGACAGCTTGACTGTAATGTCTCTGGGCTGCATATGTCGTTGAGTTTTTTTACTGAAACGTAAGTAAATTATCCAGAATAGTATAACATTGGTTCAGAAGATAATGTGGAATTCTGTTTATGCTTTAGCCGATTTTTGCAGATGAAAAGGTGGTATATTTGCAAAAATTGCAGTTGGGGCCAACGCCTAGTGCCTAGGCTACATTTAGCCCAGGTGAACTCCCTGACCGTACTAAGTTACGCTGAAAGTCCAACCAGGCCCAGGCTACATTCGAATGTATTCACTCAGCTTGTCACCCACTCAGGCCAGCCCCCATGTCGGCTACTCCATTAGCATTTAAACTGTCCGGCATTTCAACCCGTGCAAGACTAGAGCCTATGTAGGCTAGCTACTGGTACATCAGTACATGTAATGATGTATCCTTGGTCAAGGTGTTCGTCATTTAATGATTTATTAGCTGCACCACACTGGCTAGACCCGTAAACAGGGCCAGACATATACTCCTCTGTCTCTAGGCCCTGTCCCGACTCATAAATTAGTTTTGAAAATTTTTACGCAGTGGCTGTTGTTACGGCAGCCGTAACATATATCCCCTTTTCTATCGTTACGGCACTGCAACTGCGCAAGGGCGCCAACTTAAGCGCAGATTTCGGACTTTAGGCCTAGGGCATATTTCCCTTTAAGAAAATCTTTCAAAGTCTCCGATGAGAAAAGAAAAAAGATTCCTGCTTAGGGCTATACAATTAGAAACAAACATAAAAAAACAATTATGGTATAAACATGAAATTTAGGCGAAAAAAATAAAATAGTCCGAGCGCGGATTCGAACTCACATACCAGTGGTTCCAAACCTTCCACCTTGAGCTCTCGGCCACAAGCGTTTGGCGATCTAGGTTATTTTAAAATATATAAATCGTTGTGATGATCAGCTATGTCATCGCACCTGTGCAGTTCAGTGCCTTACCATTAGCAACCTGTTCCTATAACAAGGAAACAAAGTCCACATTCTTAAACTACATGTAACTAACATTTTGACCTTCAGGAACCATTACTCAATCCTGATAGTTTAGGTAAATTTTGACAATATTATGCAAGAAAACTTCAAATTTCTAACCCAAGTTTGGCAAAAGACAATCACTCAGTCGAATCACGTCATTTTGTTTTTTGTCTGGTTACTCGACTCGGGTAATTTGGATTTGTCAGAACAAATCTCCGTCCAGGTCAAGGAAGCAAACTACATGTACACTCACTTATTTTTCGTTCACAGCTCTTCGGGCCGGTCATGTACATGTGTGATGCCGTTTTACCCAAAAATTTCCCTCAAAAACCAAAAGCCCTGTTTTCTTCTCTTTCTCATGTGAAAGAAGACATCACCAGCAACTAGTTTTTGTTTCGACAAAGTAGAATTAGTTCCCTTGTAATAGGAACAGGTTGCTAAGTAAAGGTAATGAACCCCAATTTTATTTGGGATATCTGGGGGCATAACTAAACGTCCGCTTGATTTCATGAGCTGAAAATGCACCAGTATGTTCACTAGTTATGGGGTAAACTATCCCCTAGGTTGCTAATTGCAGAAAACTCGCCTTTCCTCATTTGTAGGACAAACTGTTGCCTTTTTTTGGCTGTTTTCCGACTCTGGACAATTATGCCCCACTTGCACAAAACTGAAGGCTGTTTTGTCACTTTCATGTTGTGTCACAGAGAGTGAGCCGTGCTACCAATGATTGCCGCAAGCAGTGTGTGACTGGACTGGGAACCAGCCAAGGGCACTGCGTATTAATGTGACACAAAACAGTCGTTTTCCATGAGTAGGCTACTCAGAATTGACAGGTACTCTCGCAGGTCTAAACAAAATTTGTAAGTGCTGAAGTCTGGGTGCAAACTAGACAGGCGCTCGTACAGGCTACCATTACTTAACAATACAAAGGACTCTGTGTAATGTACAAGTCAGGCCAAAATTCATCCAGAGTGGGAAAACAGCAACAAAAAGGCAACATTTTATCCTCTAGATGAGGAGAAAGTGAATTTTCTGCAATTAGCAACCTAGGGGATAGTTTACCCTCTAAGTAGTGAACATACTGGTGCAATTTTAGCTCATAAAATCAAGCGGATGTTTAGTTATGCCCCCAGATAGCCTGGATAAAAATTTTTAATCCTCTGAATCGAGACAGGGTGCAGTATACGATGGAGGAGTATACATGTACGTTGGGCCTTGTTATTTGTCTACATACTAGTTGGCTAGCTATCCATTGCCACCTTTGTTTTTTGTGTGCAGTGGAAAATCAAGGCAAACTATGACTTCACTGCTCACACGGCTGGCGTGATACTGATATGCAAATCAGCTGAGTCTGGACAACACCTTGGTCCAACCGATTGCATAGCCTTATTCTCTTTATGAGCTAGATTTCTAACCTCCATGACAGTATAGTCACCAGGTCCCTAATTTCGCCATCTGTCATGTCAAAATTACATGGATCAAGGCTGATTGGAACATAGGCCTTGGTCTACATGTAAGTGGCAAAAGAAGCAGGTCGGGGACCAAACCACAATCTAGTGATGACGCTAGCCGGCACATACGCCGTTCGATTGTGCAAAGATGGTGTAATTTTTGTGCTATTTTTAGATCATGGTTCGCAAATGACATTGATCTCTTTATCGGCCGAAAACTTCAATACAAATACTGTAGCTACATGTACATGTACCGGCATGATTACTTAAATTTACAGGAAATGTGCTACCCCGGATCTAAATGAAAAAGTTAACGTGACAAAAATAGTACTTTTGCTGAAGCTTATTTTATGCATGAAAATGGTGGCATGAAAAATCTCTGTTGATCTACTGTGGCAAATTTTATAATCACTATGGCGATTTTCCAAAATAACCATTGGAAAGAGGATTGCCATGGATACATGTACCGGTACATGTAGACTCCAACGGTAATGGAACCGGTCATGGGTGTTGGCCGCTGCAGGATGCGAAAAGTATTAGACTGGTTCCACTGTCCAAGTGAGCTCAGCCAAAGAAAAATAGAAATAGAAAAAGTTTACGTAAAAAATAGTTTGGCTGAAGTTTACTCTATGTATTAAATGATTGCTGGTAAAAGTCTCCATTGATCTACCGTGGCAAATTGTATGATTACCATTGGGATTTTCCAAAATAACCATCGGATCAGTTTTGCCATAGACTCCAAAGGTACAGCAACGGCGGTCATGGTATGCGTGTTGTCACTGCAAAAAGTACAGTTTAGCTGATCAAACCAGTCAATGCCAAAAAAAACAGTTTTGCTTAAGCTTACATTACTTTATGCATGAAAATATTGCCATAACAAATCTCCATCAATTGATTTGTGCCTTACCAAATTTTATAATTACTGGGGTGATTTTACGAAATAACCATCTGAAATAGCACGGCAGCCATGTGGGCTGCCAGCATGGTGGCAACTTTCAAATCTTGTTATTTTACAAAATCTCGTGAGAAAGACAACATTATTATTGACCTGATAACATGACGTTATTGCCGCTTGAACTAGTGACATAAGCAGAAACTAGTGACGTCTGTAGATTGTGGTTTGGTCCCTAACCTGAGGCTAAACACAAAAATAGCTATACATGTACATGTATTCCAGGTTACCCAACCCAACCTAGAAAATCACGCGGAACCTACAAGTATATCTTTTTATTTGACAAATGGTGCCTTGCCCCGAGCCTAATTTTGTGTATCATCCTGGACATGGTACATGTATTATTTTAGTTTTTTTTTTTTGCAAGAGATGGACTGCTCTTGTGTGTTTGCATTTCAACAACCAGCTGCTTTAGTGCTGAACATTACATGTACATGAACATGTACAATATACAGTGTATGTGTACTATACATGTACATGAACATGTACAATATACAGTGTATGTGTACTATACATGTACATGATGTGTGTTTACATGTACATGTATCATTGTATGCATTCTACATATCATCACGGTTTCACAAAGAGACAAGTGGCCCAAAATCATGATTTTTTTCAAATGTCTGTTTTGTTCTTTGCATAATGTAATGCCTGCAACTTGGTGTACATGTAATCATATTTTTACCAAATCTACTGAAACCAGCCAAATCATAATCAGATCTCTGTGGGAGAAGAATCAGCTACATATATATACTGCATTTTTCATTTTCATGAAGAGACAAAGTTGTCTTCTGTATACATGTATAGTGTTAGCAATAAAGGGCAAAACCATCATAGGCAAATTTGTCTTTCCGCATTCAGGAAGAGAAAAATTTGATTCTTGAAATGTAGATGTAACAATTTTGCACTTGGCATGTGCTATGGAAAAGGGTGTGCTGTGTACATGTACATGTATGCGGTTTTCACGAAGAGACAAACGTCACACAAATTTTAGCATTTTCTTGAACAGATAAAAGTGCTTGTTTACAAAAGAAACAAATTTTAATTTACTTCTTATTATTTAAAAGTTTTGTGTCATTTGTGTATTACCGATAGCATTAATAAAATCAAAAAAGAGATACTGGGGAAATACATGTAAGTGTTTGAAAATGAGACCAACTTCAAATGCAATTTTCTTAAAATCTAGCTTTTACTCACTGATGAGACTTTTGTGTCTTGGAGAAAATGATGACAGTTTATACACTATGCTTGTTACATGTACCAATTAGTACCGCTTCATGTATGTGTACATACTGTACATTGTATGTGTGTGCACCTGTAGGGGGTGCCCCAAGAAATCTTGTTGCCATAATGATACTTGTTTGTATATTATCACACTGATAATAGGCTACCTGTATAATTCTGGGGACTTACTGTGCATATGTACAATGTACATGCACTAAGTGACCCACAGCAAAACAAGATCAGCAGAGGTACTAGTAGTCTGACTCTTGACAGGCCTGGACCTCATGAGCGGCTGATTGTCTGTGAATTATATTTGTTCACCGAGGCATTAATGACTTACCTGGATAACAAGGCTGTGAACTGGGAGGAGTTGTGCAAAGGCCATATCATTAAAGAGAAGGTTGACATTTCAAATTCAAGGCATCAAATTGTATTAGTGGATACCTGTGCTAGATACAAACATGTACTTGGACATGTACATTGTATGCACCTTAATTGCACATTGGCAATCCATTATTAAGTTCCTTTCGCACAGAGTACTTAAATTGTATTCAGAATGGCCCAAATTTTCTGATGAGGGGGACATACCCGTACATGTACATACGTTACAGTATACATGTACCTGTATTAAATGATCAGTTTTTGTTTCTTTGGTTCACAATGCTTACATGTATTAGTTTTTGCTAAAGAAATTCCAATATTTCAGAAAATCAATTAAATTTTGTCTACAGCACACATTGTAAGTCGTTTACATATTTTTTTCAATATTGAGAGAAAAATCTAAAAAAAGTACATGTATGGTACTTGCTCATCACTTCAGGTAACAATGTATACGACCATATCTATTGCAATCTGAAGATGACCTACTCTATTGTACATGTATGTACCATGCATTGCTGCAGCTTTTTTGTTCAGTTCTACTCAGGTTTATTGGCATCTGATAATTCCTTGAGGCCATGCACTTTTTTATATGATATGTAGTGTTTATGGCTCACCTTTGACCTCCTACAAGGTGAATATCTCACACATTTACACATTATTTACACGTAGAGTCTGTTAAAATATATCACGAAGGCAATTTGTCTACATGTGAATGTGCTTTTGGAAATTGGTCATGTTGGTGTAAGGTGCCATGTGCACACCCAAATGACAGGATGTGAAAGTGACGTTTGCTGTGTCCTTTTTGTTGGGACATCCTGTAGTGCACATGTACATGGACATGGACATCCCAAATACATGTACTGGTACATGTAGATATTTTAATTGATTCTAACACACCCAGAATGCATACTGGTAAGTCAAGAAATAATTTTCCCAGCAACGTATGCACCGGTACACTTTATTTACAGTATTTCAACAGTTCAATGTACTGAGGATTACATTATTACATAAATGCACCAAGGAACTAGCGATACCCTCATCTGATTTCTGATATGTCTTATATACTGACATGACTGAGTATCATACTTGAGGAATATTCCAAGCAACCGGGTACATTTACATGGAAAATGCATAGAAAATTAGGGTGGAGATTGTGAAATATGTACATGTACATACAGGTACATGTATAGAGCTAAAATCCTTCACAAAATAACATTCACAGTAAATTTGACAAGTCCTCTTAAAGATTGTTCCATTAGAGTTGATTGGTTTTGAATATGTTAAGAACCAATCAATTTTAATGGAAGTGTATGGAAGCTGTACCTCCTTAGTTGTATCAGTATTCCCTTCGGTAAATCTGTGACAAGCAGTCACTTGTATTGTTCAAACCTTGAATTGTCAGTCAATTAATGCACGGGAATGGGCAGCTGGTTGCTGCACAGTTAAGAAAATACATACATTATGTACATGTACGGATACACACATTACGGGTAACATTACGTGCATGTACCCAACGTACATGTACGTGTTTCTGAGTCTTCCAGCCCAGTGTCTGAAACTGAAGATTTTCCCCCTGAAAAGATGTGTATTTCACTCTGGGGGACAGGTACATGTCCATATATATACGAACTTGTTGATGTTGTTAGAGGTATGTAGGGTGCAATGTACATGTACTGCTACATGTTCCTGAGGCTGCTTGTGGGCAAATACATGTACATGTAAAACATCTGGTGGGGGACAGTACCTGATGAATAATTCATAAAACCACCTGAGTACCATGGCACAGCAGATAAAACATGCTCTGCAGCAAGTCATGCAATCAGTAACTCCTGCTGGACTCATAATGAAAACAGACACTACTTGACAGAGCTCTGTAGCAAGCATACATGTACATGTACATGTACTGTACATGGACAGTCAATACTCACAACATCTTTGTCAGTGCTGTACATGTATATTTTGGATGACATGTTTTAACTGCCACTTTCTTTTTAATGCACATTTTTATCCTAATACTTACTTTCATGGCATGCACAGCTGTGTAAGATTAGGCCCGGCCTCTCTATTTTTTGTTGTCTGTAATGAATGTAACACAACAAGATACCGGTACATATTTATGGTTTATTGCATGTTCTCCAGATGTTCTGAGGTTGAGCTGAGTGACTGCATACATGCACATCCCTTCAGTCTGAGCTGTGAGGAAGGTGTATCACTCGTGGCTGTTCTAATGAACTGAGTAACCAGACTGAGTGACCACCATGGTGCTGGAATCAATCATCGCTGGCCTGCTCAACAAGTACTTGGGCAAATATGTGCAGAATTTGGACAGCGAAAACCTGAATCTCGGCATCTTCAGTGGTAATGTGTTTTGTTCATGTGTTTATACTAGTATACATGTACACGTACATGTACATGTATATGGACTGGCTAAGAGGTCACTGGTGCATGTCCTATGTGTGTACATGTATATGTAGACGTGGTACATGTAGGTGCATCCCCATTGACTGTACATGTACAGGGTCCTTTCTCCCCCAGGCCAAAGGCCAAGGGAAATAAACCCCCTTCTGGTCACTCATGGGGGGGGGGACATGCATAAGTGACTGAATTATGCCAGTTTGTGTACATGAGCGTGTACATTTATCGGTACATATGAACAATGACACACCTCTGTAAAAAATTTAATATTAGAAAACAAACTTCATAATTAAGTGTTTTCGTTCAACCAAATAACTCAACAAAGACAATGCAGTTCAAATGATAGCACAGAACATGAATTAAAACAATCATGTAATGCGTTCATAAATTTTTCTAAGTTTAAATAGTAACGTATGTCTGTAAATTATAGTAATTTTAGATCAGCAAATTTATAAGTGAGCAGTACATACATGTATGAACACGATTACAGTGTAAATATCCAGCTACATGTACATGTACATGTAAATGTAGCTTTTGTAATCAACATAAGTTTGTCAAATGTACTGACGTATGTGAAGTTATACATGTACAAGGTTGTAATCTGAAGCAGCATTTTATGCAGAGTTGTATACATGTACATGTATTGCTGTTTGCAAGCCTGCAATGTGGACCCTATTAGCAGAGTTCATCATGCTAATGAGAGAAAGACCATGATGGTCACATACAGTGTACAGCCCCGTACATGTATGATTTCATTAATTAATAAGTTCCCGTGCCCAGGTTAGTCCTAGATATGGCTGTGAACAAGCCTGTTATGAACTGTATATAGCCAATGATTTTCCGTTTCGAAAATTGTTATTTTTCCATTTCGCCAAGTCCCGAATTCTGTTTCAGAAATTTAAATCCCGTTTCATCCTCATACTTTTGTAAGCATGAAAAAGGAGAGCAAGGTTTAAAAGATACCGGTACATGGAAACCATTTACCCAACCATAATACACCCCCCGGAAAAAAGGAAAAGAAACAAATATTGTTTGGAAATACTCTTAATGTTTCCAACTGTTTAACATGCAGTACTAACTAAGGGTTGGAATTTACGTTTAATTTGCTAAACAGTTAGCAGCATTTCAATTTGCCATTTAACCATTCGGCCAACATAAAAACAAAGGCCGCTGCATGTCTGCTCTGTTTCTGCCTAACAAGTGAGTTATTTAATGCAGGTACAATGTACATGTATGTAGCTCAACAACAATGCAGACTTAGGGTTTTCTGAGTGTACATGTATGCTGATTGAGGGCATAGGACTTTCAAAAAAAAAAGAGAACGGAGGGGAGATAGATGGAATTTATCACTGTGCAATTATGAGGAATTCATTTGGCCTGTTCAGCAGAATATTTTCTTCAAAAAAAGACGAAAGGTTTTTGGAAGAAGTTGTTTATAAATTTGGAGGCCTAGAAAATGTCTGTTTGGTACGCTATTTGCCATAAATTAATGTCAAGAAAAGGAGGTGAAGGACCATTATTTAATTTATCCTGGGCTGTACAACAAAGTGGTAATCCTTCACCACTGAAAGAAAGCCTGGCTGGGGGCCAGGCAGGGTCCAGTTAGCTGCCCCAGGGGGCCCAGGTCTGTCCATGGTAATACTGTTTCTTGGCAACAGTGACATAAATCTGGGACTGCCCAATTGTAACAATCCTAACAGTGGCTGCTTTGGTTGCAAAGAATCAACTAACTACGGGTAATTGGCTGAGGATTTCTAGAAGTGCATGTGGGCATCTTCAAAGATATGTGACCCAGCCCCAAATACTTAAAAATTATTGTGTCTAACGGAATAATAGAGCTGTCAATCACTCCTCTGGAGATTTCTTTTTCTGCAGAGCTGGGGTGGATTTATTCTAGATTTTCTTTCATTGGGACTTGCCAAGCCACTTGAAAATAATCATTTCTTCCCAGGTACATGTAATTTTGGGTGTATTGGCATCAAATTCAGATAAAATCATGATATTAAGTATTAAAACAGCTGAATATTTTTGTTCAATGTTTAGACAAATTAAATCTTGGACAAGGTACTTTTAGGCTAGACTGGCTAGCTCTAAGAACTTTTTCTGCTTCCTCAAAAACTAAGTACGGTCTGTTTACGCTTTTGTCTGTCTTCAAAATTAAAATGGATAATGGAATTAATATGTTGCATGTACAGACAGAATACACCATAAAAAATACCAGAAAGTAAATTTTAACCCTTTTTATTCAAGTGAGATTTGGCTACACAAAAAGCACATTTGTAGCACCGTGACGGGGACGCATCTCTCTTGGTGCCGTAAGTATTGGTTGTGGTTGGACAGTCACCATGTGAGCGGCGCGCCTGTGCTGAAGTTGAGTGGGCGGCGGCATCAAGGCTATAGCCACGGCACACACAAAGCTTCCTCCATCCAGTGTGGTCACCACGCCACTACCACAAAAAATCTGCTATTTTTTCAGTGGTAATGAATAATGTATTTGAGAAAAGCAGAGTTCCAAGTTAGCCGACTTCGAGTTATCAAAAAGTTCTTTGATTTGACAAGGTGCTGAAGTGTTTCGAAGTGTAAAGACACTCTCGCAGCATCTTTTGAAAATAAAAATTAACCCAGATTGCGTCTATTGAACTTTGTAAAAGCTCCAACTGTTAGTTACATGTATCTCTAAACGAATTGGTTTTTTTTTGTTTTTACGGTTAAACGTTAAAGGAGTGACCCTTAGTACTTACTACCCTTATCTCAGCGGATTCTCAGACCGAACACCGAATGTCCCACATGTGCAATAAGCATACATGTACGGTATGTCAGTATGAACTTGTTGTGCCTGATTTTGTTGCAAGTACGGTGCACGCACGTGTGAATGCATACTGCGCCGCTGCGCTGTGCCGGCTGCCGCTGCAACCATGGGGTTCACACATGCCATAGCGCTTGCAACTGCGGGACGACCCAATCATGTGGTGGAGTGGTGCAATGTACATGTAGCATGTTTCCCGGTTCATTATAAGCAAGCATTTGAAAAGGGTTTGGTCATGTTGGTAGGCATTTATTTATAGTACTGTGTGGAAAGTTCTCTTTACTTTTCAAGCCATTCGTAGTGGGAAATTTTCGGTAATCGTGGAAAATCATTGGCTCTAACTCTACTGCACTAACACATTATTGCATTCTTCTTGCTGGTAAATTATTTTCTTAAGCTTTCAAATAAACAGTGGATATACATGTACCGGTACATGTACAGTACATGTAGTGTACATGTACACTGCACTGGTACATGCTGATGTACATGTACATGTACAGTCATGTGGATTCGCAATATGTTCATAGCAGTGGTATGCACTGGTACAATGTATGAACATGTGCACATATGCCTTACCGGAACATGTACATGTACATGTATAAATTTATCCATGCATGCTGACTAATGATAGGCACAGTGTACATGTTCAGTACAACAGTACCCGGGGTACACATGTATACAATGTACATGTACCTGCATGTTCATATGTACACATACATTGTACATGTATGTACATGTACTGTACATCCATACATGTACATGTACACTTTATCATTTTGAACATGCATGCACATGGCGTGATGTTAGTGGATGTACCGGACGGTACAGTAATGTACATGTACATGTACATCTAACTACATGTACATGTACATGTACTGTATACCTGTACATCACATACATGTACATGTATTTATACATGTACACGTCATGTAGCCTTACATGTACAATGTACACAGTCTCTGATGACCTGGAAATTAAAAAACACACATCTGGGCTGAGAAATCAGTCGGTATGCATACACGTACCTTGGGGTTAGTTTGGTTAAAAATTATCCTCCTTGCCTTCCTGTTTTCCTTGGTAAGTACAATACATGTTCAGTGTGCCCCTAGGGTTCTGCTGTTTGCATGTTCTATGCTTGAAGAACATGTACATGTACATTATCCATGTGTACGACCATAGGACATGCTGTGATTCATTAAAAAACCTTCTTTTGCTGGAACCGTCACAAACCGTCAGAGTTACCACAGTACTGCAGACACATACTGGTACATGTTGTACATGTCCTACCGGTAGCTGCATGTATCAAACAAAGATGGTAATCAGGTCTTGAAGTTCAATGGGATATTCCTGTGAATGATTCAACATGAAACTTCCCTGTGGCCATATATCAGTTTTGTCATTCATTACCGTCCAATCACTGTGCATTCGATTTGCCATTGTGTACACAGCAGCACTTGGTGTCTTGCTCATAGACCTGCACTCAGACAAATGCATATGTACACATGTACATAAATCAATAAAGCCAATGAATTTGCTGGGTCTTTTGTTAATCAAGTGGAGACTTCAAACTGCTGGAGACCTACCAGTACATGTACATGTACAGTATAATGTGTAGAATTGACTTGACTGCATTTCACTAGAGATGGGTCTGCTATTTGACATCACAGACACATTTTTCCTTCAAGTGGCTGCTTAATAAATACATGTATACAGTGTACGTAAGTGGATGTCATTACAAAATTAAAAGGATAATTCACAAAGTGTTGAAACTCCGCAGTTATCAAAACACCAAATGATAATACATGTCTTGTTCTCTTAAAATACTGAATCCTACCGGTACATGAACATGTACATGTATGTATGTAAATGAAAATTTATATTAATGGGACAAATGTCCATTGTGAATAAATTGGAAGTAAAATTGAAAACTGACCAAAAGGTGATATTTCTGTAAACTTTGGCTGCCCATAAAACTGGTTGTCAAAATGAGAGTGGTCTGTGTACTAAAGTGTGACGTTATTTAGAACCAGAAAGTACAGAGCAAATGAATGGGGTACCGGTACACGTACATGTACATGTATGTACATGTACATGCGCGTTGGTTCAGGCGCCGGTTCTTGTGCGAATGCCTTTTACA